AAAAAAAAAAGAAGACAAGGATTCTTTAGTAATTTTATATTTTAAATTGACCACATCAACCATCTAATGCCATATTAGCACCAAGCCATTGCTTGGCAATGGAGTAAAAGGATGTAGATTGTCATCTTCAGTAGAAGGTCTGATTTGCGGGTTTTGTTCAATAGAGGGGCTGATTTGCATTACTTTTAAGTAGAGGAGATGATATGCCACAATAATAGAAGTAGAGGAGCTGAATTGCACTTCTGCCTTAATAAAAGCGGTGTTGACAAAGAATTTACTACAGTATACTTCTTTTAGATTTTTTTATTTAAAATTCAAATAAAATAATGATAAATAATTTTTATATAATCTTTTTGTTTCACCTTTTTGTATATATATTATTAAAATAATTAATAATTTTAATTTATATGAAATTTATAATATTAAATAAATATTTTTATTTAATAATATATAAAAAAATAATATAAAAAAATTACGTTGTCGCACCACCCTAAAATAATGGTACTCCATACTAAACTCTTAACCACGTAATTCGGTCCAAATCCAGTGTTAAGACGATCAGCGCGACAATATAAAACCTGTAATAAAATTAGATCGCGTTTGTTTATTTGCGCGTTACGCGCGTGGAATCTTTATGCCATTGTCAATTTGTCATTTTTTTCAACTTTTGCCTCTTACTTTTTTTTCCCCTTTGTCATAGTTTTCTTCGCATTCAAATTCAACCACCACTTAAAAATTTTATTTGCTAAATGAAAACATCCGCTCCCAAAATTTTAGGTGACTTGTGATTTTTGGAATTTAGCTTTAAAGTTTCTAATTGATTCACCTAACTATTTCATGAATAATGGGTTGTTGATGGTAATTTCATTTCCTTTCCCCGTGTTCCTTGGGAAACTATGCGACACTTTATTTGATTTAATTTGGTTTGCTCTCGTGTAAATCTTAAATGAAAAAAAAAAGGAGAACTTCTTTACTCTTTAGAATTTTGAGAAGTATTAATATAGTTAGTACTATCATTAGTATTAGTTTCTAAGAGTAAGAAAATAAATCATCCATATTTTCTTTCTCTTTTTTTTTTTTAGATTCAATTTTTTTCTTGAAATTTAACATAATAAAAGCAAGTTTTTTAAATCTTTTTGTTTATATATTCAAAAAAAAATATTATGTAGTTTGGATTGTATCGAATTACATAATACTTACCATTAGATAGGGGATAGGTCTCCTAATATTGAAGACCCTTTCTCTATCCAATGATTTCTATTTATAACATAGTATAGTTTAGATTATAAAACAAGGGAGTTGTTATATACATTGATTTTTATATTGCAAAAGAAAAATCAGGTAGGTTTAATTACATTATTAAATATAAAATATAATATGAGTTTTAATTTTATAACATGTAATTATTATTAGAGGTGGATTTCCTTTTTTCCTTTTATATAACCTCAAATTCTAAATTTAAGTCCTCTTGCAAGGCTTTTTTATTTTTATTTTTTCTATCTTTTTTGGTGGCTTTATACATTTGGCATTGACATGATAAAAATTTACTTAAACCATAAAAAATTTTAAGACAACTATGATTAACTTGATAGTGTATAGTTAATACAACTTATGGTATATTTATCTTAATGATATTTAAGTCATTTCACACTAAGTTGTAAATCTATATACAAATAAGATTTCTATTTTATAGTCGGACTATGTCGGTTTATAAAACAAAAACCTTCGAATAAGGAGAGAGCCTTTAATATTAGAGGACTTGTCTCATCTAATAATTAAAGTAGTGCAATCCAGAATAATGTAAATTGCACAACACTTTTTCATATACATATATGAAAAAGGATTTCTTAGTCTAGATTGAAAAACCAAAGACCTAATCCTTTTTCACAAATTCCCCTCAGAATTGAGTAACGATGAGAATAACATTATTTTTGCCCACCTTGCATATGTTAATCAAGAAATTTTTGGGTGACCAAATTAGAGACTCTCAAATTTGGGTGCCCAAATTGCAAGCCACCCAAAAGTTTATAACCTTATAGTGTAAACTCCACTTGCTTGACATTTTCTTTAACCAAGCAACTTATCAGAATGTAGAAAGCAAAAGTCACTAACTTCCGATTTCGTTCACCAATCCATCACATAATGATCTTCTGAAAGTAAAAGGCATTCGTTTTCATCTCCGTCGCAGCTCCGGCAACTCAATGATTCACCTCCGACTTTGAATCCACCGCGATTCTTTGTACCCTACCGATCCTGAATCCTGATCGGAAACAGCGAGCAGGTCATAGAATTGAGGGGATTTTAGATGGGGACTGTAGGGGAGACAGAAGGAGAGGGAGTGTTGGATGTGGAAGAGACGATATTCGTTGCTGTCGAGAAGAATGTGAAGAAGAGCAAGAAGACGCTGTTTTGGGCGGCGGAGAACTTCGTCGGGCAGAAAATCTGCTTGCTCCATGTTTATCAGCCTACTGATGTACTTGCTTTAAGTGAGTTCCTCGATCTGATTTCATAGCTGGTATTGTTTGGTTGATGAGAAAGTTGAGGAAAGTAGGAAATTGGAAGTTGCTTTTGTTCCTTTCTATTGTTGCTATTATGGGACATATATTATATAAGATATATATGTCAATGTGAATGAGTAATTTGTTTGTTTGTTTTTGTTCTATTTGATCTTAAATCAAAGAATTGATGATTTTCACCTTTTTTTTTTTTAAAAAAAGAGAGTTAATTGTTTATGCTAATCTTTGATATAAACATCAAAGGTGTTCTGTGCATATCTGCAAATAAATTTCTGATTTGCATCTGTTATTGTGTGGCAGAAAGTACTTTGATCATTTTTACAACTTACAAGCATTAGAATTATTATTTGTTATTATTGTATGCGGCAGATGGGAACTTTTCTCACCAGGATTTGAAACAAAATGCAATTGAGGCATTCCAGAAGCTTGAGAGACAAAAAAGGCATGAACTTCTGGATGACTACCTTCCACTTCTTGACCAAGCGGGGGTATTATTTCTTACCATCATCAAATTTTTCTTTATTTTATATTTTTATTTTTTATGAAGAATCATGAAACATGTGTTTTTCTCATTATTTTGCTGTTTCGGGCTATTTTGCTATATTTTTTTGATGTCTTAACTCTGGCCTGAAGCATTTTAAACACAATCATTTTTCTGAGGAGTTCAAACCATTTCTTGAACATTTTGCAGCTCTCTTTAAGGATTCAGTTGAGACTACAGTTTGAATTTTTATTTGCTAATGACATGATGACTTATAAATGTAGGTGCAAGCAGTCAAAATTTTGATAGAGATGGACAATATTGAACGGGGGATTGTAGAGGCTATTGCTCAGTACAATATTAGATGGCTTGTAATGGGTGCAGCAGCAGATAAATACCATTCAATGTATGAAGCTTTTTATTATAGTTTAATTCCATAATATTGGCTGAAGCTTTATTATAAACTGGTGGTATCAACATACATATATAGTGGTCTTACAACCTTGTTCCAACTGGCTGACTAAATGCTGTTGTATGCCCTTTGGCCACTTTCATTTAAAAATTTCTCTCTATATTTTTGTTGGCTTTATTGATTGTTTTGTCTTATTGTTCTTGACCATTATATTCCAGGTTAGAGGTGTCTTTCTATTTTTTGTATGGGTATTATCTTATCTATTTGAAACTGTAGCTTTTATTAGGCATAGTCAAGTTCATTTCATTTAAATTTGCTTGAGATTGCAGGGAACTCACAGGGTTGAAATCAAAGAAGGCAATCTTTGTATGCCAAGAAGCACAAATTTCATGTCACATCTGGTTTGCTTGCAATGGTTACCTCATTTACACAAGGTGATTGAGACAAGCAAGTGGTATGGCTGACTTATGGGATTTAGTTCTGAATGTCTGAAATTTCCTTCTTCTAATTGACTCCATTGCGATCTAGCAATTCAATATGGGAATCAGAATAGGTTAGGCATATGTCAGAGTGTTGCTATGCTCAATAACAGGCTTATAATTCTTAAGTTCATTTAGTTGGTTCAGACATGGAGAAAGAATCTATGCACTGAAAATTTTTTCTTGAGCTGTTTGACCTAATTGTTTTTAGTCTTAAACAGGGTAGGTAGAAAAGATAGATATGAAATGGAGACTGTTCCTCGAAAACAGCTGCTGGATTCACCTGCAGGAACAGAGCAATATGAATCTGCTGTTTATAGTCTGAGCTTTCTAGGTAAGATCACTGATCCAGATTCTGATCACACTTAATCAGTCAGAGCTGTGTGAGTTTTTTGCCCTAATATGGAGCATCAATCGTTGCCTTTCTCCAAGAATAACTTTGCTGTAGATCTTTGCAGATGCTGGGGAAGTAGCTGAGGTATCCCAGTGTTCTGAGCATCCAAGCTGTTCCAACAATATAGTGGTTGGAACCTCTTCATCAATCTCATTTCTTAGAGATGAGGTGAGAGATGGTCACTTTTTTCCTCTACCACAAGCTCCAAGATGGGCTTTATTTTCGGCATTATATATTATTTTCTGAATTCTGGTATGGTATGAAATTCTAAGCCTTTTCATCTCTGCCCACATTTGTCTCTACCTTTTGAAAAACAAATATATATGCATGAGAATGTGATTACAGTTGTTAAGTTCATGAACTCTATATACTGAGGAGTAGAATTCCTCATAGTTGGATAATGCACAGAAAAGATAATTGAGAAGACTTCACTAGGTAGAATGGAAGAGCAGCTTTGGTCTTCAAGGTTTATAGATATATACATATATATATATATATATATATTAATCTTTCCATGTTAAACTAAATATAATTATTGTGGTTTGTTTTATATCAGGAGGAAGATTCTCAAGGACAAGAGAGTAATGAAGCTGATCAGAAACTGGAGCTAGCCATTGGGGCAGTGAAAAGATGGAAGGAGGAAGATGTTGCCTTGGAGGCTAAATACAAGGCAAGAGAAGAACCTTCCTTTTTTTCCTTCTTTACTGCTAGGTTGATAAAATATGTTGGAACTTCCCATTTAGGACCCACACTGAATCATTTTTCTGAAATATCTTATCTGAAAAAAAATAATCTTGGAGGTCAAAATGGTTCTAACCATTATTGCTTCACTTGTCCCATAAATTATTTACTATTCATATACTAAATATCTCAGTTGCTGTCTTTGAGAAGGTAAGCCTAAGTTTAGCCTTTGATTTCTTGTATGCTGTAGTCTTGACTACTTTCTGATTCATGCCTAACAAAAGGAGTAGAAGAAAAAGAGAAGAATATGAAATCAAGCTATTCCTTCTAGGAAACTTTGAGTCAATTAGCATGCTTTGTCGTCCTAACATTGTCAAGCTTGATTGCATTTTATCCTAGGAATTCTGGATCCTTACCATTAGCATTGGTTTTCCTTTTTACCACATAATTGTTCAACTAAATGTAGAGCACAGAATTGCTATCATATTTGATTTTTAAGCAGGAAGACTTTTCTTTGATACCTTAAATGAAATAATTTCTTTCCATGGCTTCTTTTAATGCCTTTTATAGGCAAGGGCGTTAGAAACCTTGCATGTAAAGGAGATGAGCCAAAGAAAACTATTGGAGGACTTGCTTGTCAGAGATAAACAAGAAGTGCTAAGAACAAAGAATCAATATGATAGATTTATGGAAGAACTACAGATGGTTAATGACAAGAAGGCAGCGCTTGAGGGCCGACTTGCTGAGTCACAATGTATGGTGAAGGAGTTGGAAGAGAAGATGATCTCAGCCGTGAACCTATTGATAAGTTTTAAGAAACAGCGGGATGAGATGCGAGTACAGCATGGAGATGCAAGGAGAGAACTGAATTATTCGAGGAAATTAGCAAGCGGGGAGGCTGAGAGCTTTTATGGGACAGAAATCCTTGAATTTTCTTTCATGGAGATCAACAACGCTACTCAGGATTTTGATCCATCTTTTAGGATTGGAGATGGAAAATATGGAAGTGTCTACAAAGGGCTACTTTGTCATCTACAAGTTGCCATAAAAATGTTGCCCTCTTATGGCTCACAAAGCCTCATAGAGTTTCAGAATGAGGTAAACTTTAACTTACCAGTATAAAATACATTTGGACTCTGGGCTTAAAATTGTAAAACTAGGTTTTTCTATACAGGGAAAAAGGTTTAAAAATTCAATTGTGGATGAAGTGTCTTAAGGATATCATTCTTAATGTTTCAGTTCCCTGATCAATCAGTGTTATCATGCTTTGTTTGTCCTTTTTGTGTGGCCTAAATTATGCCCTATTTTAATATTACTCCTTATCAAGTAGTATATAAGTATGAAACTACTTATTCCTGACTTGCTGCTTCCGTACATAATATGAATTGGATGTATCATTTTTGTGACAAATAGTTCAGTTTTTCAAATAAAGATTAAGATTGCTTGTGTATAAAGAAATTTGTCGTTAGATGATCAATTGGCTTATCTAAACTGCACGTCCCAGATCTTTTTATTGATTATGATATCTATTGAATTTCTCCATTTTAAATAGTCTAATATTTTTCCATGGCAATATAAATTGTTATTTATATCCTAAAGGGCTCCAGTTTATGGTTTAGTGATATTTGATGATCAAAGATATGAAATTGTGATACACTTTTAACCACTACTTTAGCATGACGGTATTTTTGTTGGTCTAATTTCAGGTAGAGGTTTTAAGTAGGGTGAGGCATCCAAATTTGGTAACACTCGTTGGAACCTGCCCAGAATCTAGGTCGCTTGTCTATGAGTATGTAAGAAACGGTAGCCTGGAAGACCGCCTTTTGTGCAGTGATAACACTCCACTTCTGTGGGAAACTCGGACACGAATTGCTTATGATATATGCTCTGCCCTTATCTTCCTTCACTCTAATAAGCCTTGTCTTCCCCATGGGAACTTAAAACCCTCTAAAGTGCTCCTTGACACCAATTTTGTATGCAAACTAAGTGATTTTGGCATCTATCGCGTGATCTCAGAAGGTAACTCTGGCACATCATTTAATGAAGCTGATCCTATGGTTGCCTCCGCCTACATGGCTCCAGAGTATCTTCGGACTGGAGAAGTTACTCCAGAATCAGATTTATATTCATTTGGAATGGTATTATTACAACTTTTGACTGGAAGACCAGTTATGGGGGTTTTGAAAGATGTAAAATGTGCATTAGAGAATGGACACTTAAACATATTGTTGGATGCTTCAGCTGGGGACTGGCCATTGGCACAAGCTCAGCAGTTGGCATACTTGGCATTGAGATGCTGTGAGAAGAACCCATTACACCGACCAGACCTGGTTTCTGAAATACGGACTGTGCTTGAGCCTATGATGGATTCTTGTCTTTCCCCAGCATCAAGCTTGAGAGTCAAGAAGCACCGGCGTGTTCCCTCTCACTTTGTCTGCCCAATTTTTCAGGTAACATTGTGCACATTTCTTTGCAGTTGGCATATGCATATTGTCTTTGCCCTTAAGAAAGACCTTTTTGCTTGGCCTGTTTGCAACTGCAGCCTACACTTTTTATTCCACCTTTCAATACTCATTTGAAGTAGCAAACTAGCAATTTGAACTCATTTTTTGGTGCATTTTTACAATGAATGTTGCATTTGAATTTGCAGGAAGTAATGAAAGATCCACATATTGCAGCAGATGGCTTCACATACGAAGCAGATGCTATCAGAGGATGGTTTAAAAGCGGCCATGACACTTCACCTATGACAAATCTTAAGCTCCAACACTGCAATCTACTTCCAAATCATGCACTTCATCAAGCCATTCAAGAGTGGCGACAAAAATGATGTTTTGCCCGTCTCATTGCATGTACATTCACCTGCTTATTTGATCATATATAACTACATCCTCTATACCAATTTAACCGCCATATTTGTACTAATCCATTTATAGCACACTATCATGTATAGAACAAGTGATTTTGGTCCCTTAATGATTCAGACATCTTTCTCTTTGAGGAAGATCCGGCAGTGGTTGCTTCCTATACCATATTGAGCCGCTTTTCTGTTTCTAATTCTTAACAATGGTGGGTGAAGGAGATGATGCATTTGTTTACTGGGAAAATGATCCGGCAACACCGCCGGCTGTCCTTTCAGATGGTTTGTTCCTAAATTTTCATCTATGACTGAATCCTGATCTGATGAGACCCCAAGTGGTGAAGAATCAGAAAAGAGCAGATTTTTGCTAAAGCTTCTTTTGGTTACAGATTCTACAGATACAAGGGGACGGAGATGCTACCCAAATTAAAGGAACTACGTGAGCCAACTCTAGGCGCTACTATGAATTTTTTTTTTTTTTTTTTGTCATCGGTTTTTTTTTTAAGAAATTGAATTTTGGTTAATAAAAGAAAGATCAAATATCTTTATCAATTTAGATTATCACCTTTAATCTAAATAGATTATAAATATCATCATAAAAATTAAATCTATTAATAAGAAATTATCTTTTTATAAATTAGGTTTAAAATTTTTATTTAAAAAAAATTAGTTTCAAAATATGTAAAAATTAGTTTGAAAAAACTATTATTGTTTTATAAAAAAAAATTCAATTTAGGACAATATATGATTTTTATATTATCTTAACATTATACATTTATTCTAGGGGAAAATTAACTTAGAAAAACAAAACAGAAAATTACATAATGAAACCAAACCCCGCAATTATTCGTGACTTTGCGTTTTTAAGAACAATGCAAGAATGCATTTAAAAATTGAATTTTCATGTAAAAAAACAGAAAAGAATAAAAAAGTATGCATTTCGAACTTTCGAAAGCCCACTTGTACTCGTGGTGCATTGGGCCTTCGCACTTTTCAGACGCTCCATTTCCAGCACGTGTTTCTCACTCTGCTCAACATCACCTGCACCAAAAGTTTCCCACGTTAAAAGCGTGGGAAACGGAGAGAGAAAACTAACGGGAATTAGAGCCGAAATCATGTGATTATTATTCCAAATTCACACGTCATTGTACAAAGATTCGTACTTAGCCTAATAACAGAGAGAAAGCATAACTAATTCGTTAATTAACTTCGCTAACTGTCAATACCTAAGAAATG